ATGATGACGATGAGGATGATGAGGATGCTGATGCTGCTGATGATGATGCTGCTGCTTCTGCTGATGCTGCTGATGCTGCTGCTGCTGATGCGGATGATGATGATGATGATGATGCTGACGCTGATGCTGATGATGATGATGCTTATGCTGCTGATGCTGATGATGCTTATGATGATGCTGATGCTGATGCGGATGATGATGATGCTGATGCTGATGCTGATGATGCTGCTGATGATGATGATGATGACGATGATGATGATGATGATGATGATGATGATGATGATGATGACGATGCTGATGCTGATGATGATGCTGCTGATGATGATGCGGATGATGATGATGATGCTGATGATGTCGCTGCTGATGCTGATGCAGCTGCTGCTGATGCTGATGCTCATGCTGATGATGCTGATGCTGCTGCTGCTGCTGATGATGATGATGATGATGCTCCTGCTGCTGGTGAGGATGCTGATGATGCTGATGCTGATGAAGCTGATGATGCTGATGATGCTGATGATGCTGATGATGCTGATGCTGCTGATGAGCATGATCATGCTGCTGATGCTGATGCTGATGCTGATGCTGCTGCTGCTGATGATGATGAGGAGGAGGAGGAGGAGGAGAACGAAGAGGAGGAGGAGGAGGAGGAGTGGAGGGGAGGAGGAGGAGGGGAGGAGGAGGGGAGGAGGAGGATGAGTACAAGGAGCGAGGTCTGAGGAGGAGGAGCGGTGGAGGTGGGAGGAGGAGGAGGATGGGTAAGGGGATGGGATACTGGGAGGGGGAGGAAGAAGATGTCGATGCGGAGGAGGGGGAGGATGAGGAGGATGAGGAGGATGAAGAGGAGGAGGGGGATGAGTAGGAGGAGGAGGAGGAGGAGGAGGAGGCGGAGGAGGAGGAGGAGAAGGGCGACGAGGAGGAGGAGGAGGCACCTGAGGAGAAGGAGGAGGAGGGCGAGGAGGAGGAGGGGGAGGAGGAGGAGGAGAAACTTGACCAGGAGGAGGAGGGATAATAGTATAGTAGTGGTGGTAGTAGTAGTAGTAGTAGTAGTAGTAGTAGTAGTAGTAGTAGTAGTAGTAGTAGTAGCAGTAGCAGTAGTAGTAGTAGTAGGAGTAGTAGTAGCAGCACAGTAGTAGTAGAGTAGAAGTTAGTAGTAGTAGTAGTAGTAGTAGTTTCGTCGTAGTCGTCGTCGTCGTCGTCGTAGTAGTAGTAGTAGTAGTAGTAGTAGTAGTAGTAGTACTAAGTAGTGGAAGTAGTAGTGATTAGTAGTAGTAGTAAGTAGTAGTAGTATTAGTAGTAGTTAGTAGTAGTCGTAGTAGAGTAGTAGTCGTAGTAGTAGTAGTAGGTAGTAGTAGTAGTAGTACTACTAGTAGTAGTAGTAGTAGTAGTAGTAGTAGTAGTAGTAGTAGTAGTAGTAGTAGTAGTAGTAGTAGTAGTAGTAGTAGTAGTAGTAGTAGTAGTAGTAGTAGTAGTAGTAGTAGTAGTAGTAGTAGTAGTAGTAGCAGTAGTAGTAGTAGTAGTAGTAGTAGTAGTATTCGTCGTCGTAGTAGTAGTAGTAGTATTAGTAGTCGTAGTAGTAGTAGTAGTAGTAGCAGTAGTAGTAGTAGTAGTAGTAGTAGTAGCAGTAGTAGTCATAGCAGCAGCAGCAGCATCAGTAGTAGTAGTAGTAGTCGTCGTCGTCGTCGTCGTCGTCGTAGTAGTAGTAGTAGTAGTAGTAGTCGTAGTCGTAGTCGTAGGAGGAGGAGGTATGACACGAAGGATGTAGACGGATGATGAGGATGGCGATCCTGAGGATGAGGTTGAGACGGAGGAGGAGGAGACGGATGAGGAGGAGGAGGTGGAGAAAGACCAAGACGATGACTAATACGAAGACCCGTACTCCTATTATGACGACTAGTGATAATATTGATGGTTCAACTGATAAGACGAACATTCGACTAACACTAATACCAAGACTTCGTCTAATACGAATACCAATGTGAACACTATTAAACAACCTATTCATACGACTAGCGATAAGAGTAATACGGCTGACCAAAAGTTATTTGACTGAAACTCGTAGTACTATCCTCGTAATCAGACTAGTACTAATTCATATATACGAGTGTCATTTATTATATACTTGTGACGACTATCAACACTCATAAACGAATCTTAACTACTAATAATCAGAAGAGGAAAACCACGACGAGTAATACCACTACTAATGATAACCGTTGTACTGATACTATTAAGCATACGAAGACAAATGTGACGACAACCGCCACTACCAAGACGAATCGTAACCATATTATAAATACTCAGAATCAGACTGGCCGCTAGACTAAGCACACTAGTAATATTATGCATAAGAATACGAAGATTACGAAGTCGAGGCATACGAGTAACAAGATGAGTACTAATACTAGTACTACGAAGAAGACGAAGAAGAAGAGGAGGAGGAGGAGCAGGAGGAGGAGGAGGAGGAGGAGGAGGAGGAGGAGGGTGAGGTGGTGGAGGGACTGCAGGGACTGCCCACTTTTCCCAGGCCTTGTCCAGTCTCGGGCTGCTGCCGCCTGGATTTGACGCCTGGTCGGATGAGCTTCCCGCCCCCCCATGGGCGCCGCCTGCCTGCCACGTCGGATCGGCGCGTCCGTGCCCCAGCGCTGCTCGTAGTCCCGAGCATTTTCTTTGGGTGGAGGGCAATGGGTGAAATCTGAAATGCCGTTTCGATGAATTTTCGAGGCTTGAACCTGCAAGAGGTGAATCGCAAGACGAAGTGATTTTCGAGGTGCAGCAGCCCATATGGATTTCACCCTGAACCCTCCACCCTAAGAAAATGTTCAGTAGTCATAGGGTGAGTCGGATGCAGACTCAACGCCACGCCGCTGAAGGTCGGACTCCAAGGAACAGCCAGTGGCACCGCCGTGCGAGCCATCACGCGGGTGCTTGGGGGGCTGACGGGTGGAGCACCCGGGCAGACGTGCACCGCTCGCATGCAACCGATCAGGGCGCGGACTCGCGGGGTCGGGGCTTCCTGGCCAGAGCGCGTCGACGAACCGCTGTCGAGCTGGGAGTAGAGAGGCATCGAGAGATCGCCAGGGCTTCGTACCCCTGGTCAGATGGCGGCAATCCTCCTGCAGCGCCAGGTCGTATTGTGAGCGGCCCATGCCGCCAGCCAGTAAACCTGGAGATTTGGAAGGACGCGCGGGTGCCGAGCTGCCCACAAGTACAGGTTCTATAGGCTTACGCCACCTCCGCCGACCCCTCTATAAAGTTCTTCGCGTCCAGGACTGCATTCCACTCGGCTTGTCCGATTCCTGGGAGGTTCTTGGGGGCGTTTGGGGGCTCTGTCGGGGCTTCCTGGGGGCTTCTTGGGGCGTGTTGGGTGCTTTTTGAGACAACCTGGGGGTTTGCTGGGGCCGACGGCTGGAAATGTGGGTTCGGGTTCTCCTTGTGGGTCCCCTTTTGGCGCCGTCCGGGGGCCTTCTGGGGCCGTCATCGGGGCTTCTTTGGCGGTCTTGGGACCCTTCTGGGCCGTCTTGGAGCTGTCCTGGGGGTCTTCGAGGCCTCAGAGTCCCTTTTGGAGGCCTCTTGGGCCGTCTTGGAGGCCGCTTAGGGGCCTCTCAGCCGTCTGGGACCATCTTGAGGCCATCTTGGGCAGTCTTGGGTGCATCTTGGGCCGTCTTGAAGGCATCTTGGGGCCATCTTCGATGTCTTGGAGGCCATCTTGGCGTCTTGGAGGTCATCTTGGGTCATCTTGGAGCCATGTGCAGGCCGTCTTACGCCATCTTGGGTGCATCTTGGGCCGCCTTAGCCGTCTTGGAGGCCCTCTTGGTTGTCTTGGAGGCCTGTTGGGGCCCTCTGGGGGCCGTTTTGGGGGCCTTTTGGGCCGTCATGGGGCCATCTTGGAGGCCTCGTGGGTGATCTTGGAGCGACCTTGTGGGCCTCTTGGGCCGTCTTGAGCCGTCGGAGTGCCAAACAAACAACAAATGCCAACATCCCTCAAAAACCTAAGGAACATCAATGATGTTGATCTCTTCTGGTCCTCCTGGATGACCTCTTGGAGATCTCTTGGGCCGTCTTGGAGGCCTCTTTGGAGCCTCATGGAGGAGGAGGAGGAGGAGGAGGAGAAGGAGGAGGAGGAGGAGGAGGAGGAGGAGGAGGGGCAGGGCGGAGGAGGAGGAGGAGGAGGAGGAGGAGGGGGCAGGAGGAGGAGGAGGAGGAGGAGGAGGAGGAGAGAGGAGGAGGAGGAGGAGGAGGAGGAGGCGGAGGAGGGAGGAGGGAGGAGGGAGAGGAGGAGGCGGAGGAGGCGGAGGAGGAGCCGCCCCGGTCGTTGTCCCTCGGAAGGTCGCCCTTGCCCGGGGCCACGCTCTGGCGCGTGCGGCCGAGGGCCGCCGCCACGGGCGGGGGAGCGCCGGGCCGAGGCCCCTCGGAGCAGGGGGCCTCCGTCTGGCCCGGAGGGGCCTCCCCCGGACACAGCGCGAAGTCGGGCCTGTGCCCCTGCAGGGGGATTGTCGACGAAAAAATTGAAAAGATACACCAAAAATTGTCCAAAAATAGTCTGGGGACTATTTTTTGAATCTTTTTGACATTTTTGGGGCATTTTTTTGGGGTATGTTTTAGTGTTCGTCGAAAATCCTCCTGTGGGGGGACACGCCCGACATAAACACAGCGCATGATATGGAGCCTCCGGCCGGCTGCGGAAGGGGGAGGAAGAGAAGAGAGCATCGGGGGTCCCCAAACAGGGTGGTGCCCATCGGTGGGGATTCGGGGTCACCGCGCGGTTTTGGGACTCGGGTCGTTCTCCGAGGAGGTCTCGGGCGACGGGGGCCTCCAGGGTGCCAAGACCGTGCGGTGACGGACCGTGCGGTGAGGTCTCGGGGGATTTCGAGGTCACCGCACGGTCTGTCACCGCACCATTTCGGGACTCCAGAAAAGGGGAAGGAAGAGAGAAGAGGAGCAGCAGGAGGAGGCCAAGCCCCTGCAAACGGGGCGTTCGTACACGGGGCGGCAGCCAGGGGGCCTGGAAGGGAAAAGATCATGGCGCCAGCATCTCAGAGCGGATTTCGTTCGGAAGACAGTATTGTGGGCCCAGAGTGTGCTGGAGAATTTGGCTCTGGATCTCGAAGCGGATTTCGTGCGGATTTTTTGTGCCGGGAATGATTGTTAACAAAATCCACGCGAAATTCACTTCGTTTTTCGCTCGCCGTTTCGGGGTTTCGCATTGACAGACATCCGCGCAAGAATCCGCTGCAGCACGTCTGCAAGGTCGGTGCAGTCAAATAGAGGAGCAGCAGGAGGAGGCTCGGAGCAGGAGTGACGGCCCGCAGCCCGATCGCGTCGGCCTCGCCTCGGTGGGCCGAAGTCGGTCGGCTCGGTTCGGTTCGGTCGCTTGTTGCGCCGTGGCGTCTTCCCCGCCCCCCGACGTCCAGATACTTTCACAACGTCGCCCCCAGAGGTCCCGACCCATTCCCCAGGACTGGTCGGACGGGGCTAGAGCGAGGACAAATCCGTTCCAGGGCGTTCTGGAACGCTCTCAGAGCGTTCCGGAACGTTTCGAGAAGGCCGCGGCGCCCGAGACGCCCTCCAGAGCCGCCCGATCTCAGAGATTCTCGATCTATCCTCGCCTGATTTTACCCTCGTCCTGGCTTCGTCTTGACTGGCTTTGATCGGGCCAGACGAAAGGGGGAACAGGGAAAGGGGGAGGTACGAAATCTGATGCATGCAGCGCTTTCAGCCCCACTGAGGGGCCCACTCCTCGGTGCATGGCCGCCTCCGGCGCCGGGAGGCGCCGGCAAAATCAGTTACGTAAGCTGATTCTCAGACCCCCTCTTTGCTATCCCCCCCTTTCGCCCGACCCGAGACTGGTGCAGGACTGGTTGTCCCAGACCATCCAGTCTCTGAACGACCAGCTGGACCAGTTCGAGGCGGGGGGCGGGGCGGCAGGGCCTGGAGGATCAGGAGCTGGAGGAGGAGCTGGAGGAGGAGCCGGAGGAGCAGGATCAGGAGAAGGAGTGGTGGTCGAGTCAGCCAGGTCGTACGAGTCATGCGGCCCCGCTCATTCCCGCCCCCCCCCCATGGCACAAGACTCGATTGTGGCACAACTTGGTATTGGGATTGGAACGCGCTCCCACCTTGCGCACGGGCGGCGGTGGGGGGGGGGGGCGGAGTATTGAGAGGAGTGGGATGAGATGATGATGATGATGATGATGATGATGATGATGATGATGATGATGATGATGATGATGATGATGATGATGATGATGATGATGTGATCTGGATGATGCTGATGATGAGATGATGATGATGATGATGATGATATGATGATGATGATGATGATGATGATGATGATGATGATGATGATGATGATGATGCTGATGATGATGCTGATTGATGATGATGATGATGATGATGATGATGAGATGATGATGATGATGGATGGCATGATGATGATGATGATGATGATGATGATGATGATGATGATGATGATGATGATGATGATGATGATGATGATGATGATGATGATGATGATGATGATGATGATGATGAGGAGGAGGAGGAGGAGGAGGAGGAGGAGGAGGAAGATGAGGAGAGAGGAGCGAGGAGCGGGGAGACCGGCTGCGTCATAGGGAACAGAGCGGGAGTGGTCTCGGTTGGCTGAGTCGGATATTGGATCCCGCTGCGAGGAGGAAGACGAGGACGATGAGCGAGGATACGGAGGAGTGAGGAGGGAGGGGCCAGGATAGGAATTGTGAGCAAGAGGTATGGGGAGGAAGAGTATGAGGAGGAGGAGGAGGATGAGGAGAGAAGGAGGAGGAGGAGGAGGAGGAGGAGGAGGAGAAAGAGGAGGAGCAGAGCGGAGGGAGGAGGAGGAGGAGGAGGAGGAGGAGGAGGAGGAGGAGGGAGGGGAAGGGGAGGAGGAGGAAGAGGAGGAGGAGGAGGAGGAGGAGGAGGAGGAGGAGGAGGAGGAGGAGGAAGAGGAGAAAGGTGAGGAGGAGGAGGAGGAGGAGGAGGAGGAGGAGGAGGAGGAGGAGGAGGAGGTGGAGGTGGAGGCCGTGCGCTGTGCATCGCCACTCGTCCGCTCGGGCGGAGGGGGAGGACGTGAGGATTTGCCTGGGTATGTGGGGGGGCGCGTGGCTCGTCTCGCACTGTCCCTGCGGGCAGGCCGACATAGAGGTCTTGAACAACAAGAAGTCGTTGAATAACGAGAACAAGTCCAGGCTGGCGCAGCTGAAGGCGCACCAGGACGGCGGGGCGCGGCACCGGGGCGGCGAGCGCAGGTTAGGCTCAGGAAGTGGGGCGTGTCTCTCTGCAGGAGCACTGATCTCAACACAGAGAAGCAACACATAGCCCGGGGACGATTTCCCGACAAGTTTTGGACTATTTGCGAGCATTTTTTTCAGTGGGAACCCCTGTTAAGAAACACCCTGCCTGCCTCCAGGGTGCCCCTTGATTTCTTGGGTTTCGATGGTTTCGCGATGGAAGGCGTGACGTTCGCATACCAAACGTCAATGGACAGCCGGGGGTCTCAGGGTTGGGTTTCTCGTGGAAGGCTTCTTGTGGACCGACCTCCACGGTGCTCAGGAGTGATCAGACAGAGTCTGGGGACGGCTTGCTTCGACTCGCTCTCGCTGGGTTTTTGCTGCGCGCTTCCTCTTCGTCCACAATCCGCTCGCAGGGGGACGTGCACATATGCCAGACCTCTCAGCTTCGGGGGGCGGCCCTCCGAGAGGACCCCACCCCCCAGGCTTGTGCGCCTGGATCCGCCCCCCCCCCCCCCCCACGCGGCCACTCCGCGTCCAGGGGGACGTGCACATATGCCCACCACGTGCACGCGGCCACTCCGCGTCCGCGGCCACCCCCGCTTGCGCGTTGCTTCTCTGTCCACGATCCGCTCGCAGGGGGACGCGCACACACGCCCGACCTTTCCGCTTCGGGGGGGCGGCCCTCCGAGAGGACCCCCTTCCTGGGCTTGTTCGCCTGGGCCCGCCCCCCCTCCCCCCGCGCGGCCACGGGCGGCCACGCGCCGGAGGCTACGCTTGTATGGGGGACGTGCACCTGCCCGACCTCTAAGCTTAGGGTTAAGCTGGGCCTGTCCCTCTACAGGAGGAGTATTCAAAAATACTACACAAAAATAGTGTGGGGACTATTTTTTGAGCTTTTTTTTTGTGTGTGTATATATATATATATTACCATTTTGGGGTATTCTTGGGGTATTTTTTATTTTTCGTCGAAAAATCCCCCTGTGGGGGGACACGCCCGACCTGAGCTTACTTAGGGGGGCGGCCCTCGAAGAGGACCCCCCCCCCCTGGCCTGTGCGCCTGGATCCGCCCCCCCCCCGCCCCCTCCCCCCCGCGCGGCCCCCCGACGGCCACGCACCCCGACGGTCACCCTCTCGCCTGGTGGGGTCAGGTCGGGCCTGGAGAGAGGAGCGGCGAAGCTCAATGATCGGGGGTGGATAGAACCCCCAACAGTGACACGTCGATTAGTGAATTGTCCGTTTTCGGTTCTCGAGAGGGCGCCGTGGCCGTTATTTTCCAGGCTTGCGCCCGCCAGGTTTGGGCCTCAGGTCGTTTTCACTAGACCACGTTTTATTAAAGGGGGGTCTGTCCATCCCCGAAAGGAGTGGCTCGCAGAGCTTCCCTGAAAGCGACGGCGGCGGAGCTGAAGAGTAGCTCGAACGCGCTGGCGGACTGGGTGGCTCGAAACATCGCGACGGAGGTCCCTCCACAGGAGGAAGGCTCAAAGGTGGTCAAAGAATCGCCTGGGGTCGACGTTTCGACCGGTTCTTGATTTATTTCTTAGTATTTTTCGGGTACTGTTGTTGTTCGTCCAAAGTCCGCCTCTCGGGGGACATGCCCGACCTACGATTAGGGGGGGGCGGCCTTTCGAGAGGACACCCCCCGCGGCTTGTGCGCCTGGATCCGCCGCCCCCCCCCCACGCGGCCACTGAAGGCCACTCACCCGAGGTCAACCTTCTTGCTTAGTAGGGTCCCTCTTGCGCGCCGCAGCCGGTGCAGCTCGTTTGCGTGGGTAGTCTTTGGACTCCCAGATCCGCAGATCGGGGAAGCGCGAGACTCAAGTAAGCCAGGACTCGGGTCCGCCGACGTTCTTCGACGAGCGCGTCCCGGATTCTGACGGTCCAGTTTTCGTGGGATGTCTGCAGCGTGAGCTCGCGTCAAATTTAAGACTTGGTCTCGGCATTTTCATGGTGGCCCCGTCAGGCCAACCCGAGTCCCCCGTGCCCGAGTCTTGCGTCTTCCCGAGAGGAGCGTGCTCTGTGGTCGGTTACCTTTTGGGGGCCTCCTCGAGGCTCCCGGAGGAGCCTTGGGGGACGGGGGCCTCTGGGGGGCATGCTGGGCTTCGTAGGGGCCATCCTGCGGGTGGGGGCTCTCTCCGAATCCTTCTCGCAGTGCCTCTTGGGAGCAGGTTGGGCGCCTTGGGGGCCATCTTTCAGGAGGGAAAAAAACACACAGACACAATTATTCCTCGCCTCCCAGAGAATATGCGAAAATATAGGAGGTGTGGGGGAAGACAGAAACCCTGAAAATATGAGGAAATATGGGGGATTTTTTTATTTCTGTGTATTTATTTGTGTGTCCCAGGGCCCCTTCAATCTTGTGGGGGAGGCCCCCCCCTGGTTTCTCTTTTTGGGGCCCTCGTGGTCCATCCCACACTGGGCTCACTTCGGCTCCTCCGATTCGCGACGATTCGATTTCGACGGTTTTCGACTCCGATTCGGTTCGATCTCGGATTCCGATTCAGGATCCGATTTTTCGATGGAGGGCTACTAGCCTGCCGCTGTCTGCCGATGCCGACTTCTCCCGACCCGGCAGCCGCTTTCCGACGATCCGACTTTCATGTCGATTGCCGATCCGACTTATCGATTCGATTCGATTCGTTTCTCTTCTTGGGGCTCTCTCGGTCCCTCTCACATGCTGTGAATCCCCAGGGAAGCGGGCGCCGGCTGATTTTTCGGCTGAGCGCCTGTGAATGGCGCTCTCTCGTCCCAGATCCCACAGTCTATGAGTCGGTTACCTGTCTGAGCACTCGAAGGGGCTTCCGTCTGCCTCCTCTTCCCGCGTTGTGCTGAACCTTGGTCGATGTCCTCCGTCTTCCGACTCCGTGTCTCTACCCCTCTATATTGTTGGCGGCCTATACGTAAGCCTCCGCGCACGCTTATCCCCCCCACCCTTACCCAGAGCGCCGTTGCCGTTTGGAATTCGTTCCCGCGCGCACGTGCTTCCTGGCCCTCCAGCTGGTGGCCGTTGGAAGATCGCCGAGCGCGTTCCACTACTCGCACAGTGCCTACTCGCAAACGTTGGAAAAATAACGAGGTCTTCCTCTCTGTAATCTATAGTAAATCCCCCGCGGCGGACCCAGGCCATTTGCGAGCATTGCTTTGCGAGTAGTGGAACGCGCTTGTCCACAGGCTCCGCCGCGCCCTGCCCGGTCCCCAGGTTGGCCCAGCCCGCCACGGCAGGCCCTCGCGCCGTGATGGCGCGGCAGCCACGCCAGCTCGGGCGTTCAAGCCTGAAGGCCGCCAGTGAGCCGGCCGATGTCGAGCGATCTGCGCTATCGGGAAGCCGCCATCGTTCCAGGTTGAACGGTCCTCCTCCTCCTCCTCCTCCTCCTCCTCCTCCTGAACGATCCGCGGGGTGTCAGAGACCAACGCTGACGTCCTCGCATTACGAGCCTGCCCCTCAGAGAATGACCTGCACGGTGCTTTCTGGCCATCCCTCGTGGGCCGTTCTGTTCTTCGAGTTCTGTCCTGCTTTGTCGAGCCGGAGCGGAGGCCAAGCGAGGAAGAGCGAGCACGAGAGCGGAAGCGAAGAGCACCGTGGAGTTTCAGCCCTGCCCTTAGTGGGCCCTGGAAACGACAGGGCCGTTTTTTTACCGGTTCCGTTTTGCCGTTTTTTTGCCGGTTCCGACGCCGTTTTTTTACCGGTGCCGTCGCCGTTTTTTGACCGGTTTCGGCTCCGGTTCCAATCCTGGAGCCGTTTTTTTGCCGTTTCTGGTCGCCGTTTTTTTGCCGTTTCCATTTTCAGCGGGCATGTTTTTGGAAACGTTTAAAAAAATCGGCCCTGCCGTTTCCGGGGCCCACAGAGGCCTTGCCTGCCGGTGGTGCGTGGTGCGGCGGGGAGCGCGGGGTGTTGCCCGTGGCGCGTGCCTCTGCGCCCTGCGGCTCCTCGCGGCCTTGGTCGGTCGGTCCCCCCGGGGCCCTTCTTGCGCCCCGTGCGCCAGGGCAGAGGAGAGGGCGACGGGAGAAGGCCGAGGCGGAGAGGCGCGAGGCCACCCTGGAACCCCAGAGACCCCACCTCCTCCTCCTCCTCCTCCTCCTCCTCCTCCTCCTCCTCCTCCTCCTCCTACTACTACTCCTCCCCCTCCCTTCCGCTCCCTGCTCCCCGCGCTCCCTCCCTTGCTCCCCCTCCGCTCTCTCCCCCTCCCCGCCTCCCCGCCCGCCGCCCCCCTTCCGCGCGAGGGGGGGAAGTGAGAAGGATAAGGCCCTCTGAGAAGGCGCCGGGACTTCTCAGAAGCCCTCGCGCCCTCCGAGAAGGCCTGCTTGTGTCTTCGGGGAAGGCTCATAGAACTTCCCAGAAGGCGGGGGGACTTTCGAGCCTTCTGAGACGGCCCTCTCCTTCTCACTGTCCCCCCCGGGCTCGCCACCGAGCGGAGGCAAGGGCGTCGTCGGCAGCATCTGCAGCGGAGCCGTGGGTCCGGTCGGGCCCGACGGCTCGCGGAGGGATCCAGCGCGACAGGCCCAGCATCACGGTGTGGGTCGAGAGACTCACAGCTGTGAGTGCTGTATGGTCTTCAATCACCACCCACCAAAAACCACCCCAGCCCAACCCGAAGGCCCAAATTTATCCTCGGTTTCCAGGGGGGGGGGTCGGGGAACATTGAAAAACACATGGAGCCCGTACCCCCCCCAACCCGAAATTCGGGTCAAATTCGGGTCTTCGGGTTGGGTTGGGGTGGTCTGGTAGGTAGTCATTTAAATCCAGAGAGCGACGTCGGATGCTATGGTATTCACGCGCGCGTGCGAATGTGATTGCCAATGATGCGTATTCGCGACTCGCAAATCGCGTGCCCGTGCGCCAGTGCACTTGCGCGGGCCCCTCAAACACCGATTGGTGAGCACATAGCTGCGCGTGGTGCAATACAGGCGTCTTCCGCCGTGCACATCCGCACTGTCTGTTGTAGATTCAAACTGCAGCTCGCCGTGCCAGTTGAGACGGCATTTCGAATCATCGTATGCCCCAGTGGATGCGGACTCTATTTTAGAGATCGGCATTCTGGGTGTGTTGTTTTCGACCTGCCACGAATGTGGCCCTAGCAAAGACCAGGATACGAGCCTTCCCAGTCCCCCGGCGTCATGTTTTTTCACAACGTCTCTCTGCAGATGTCTCGACCCATGGCCCGGAGGAGGAGGAGGAGGAGGAGGAGGAGGAGGAGGAGGAGGAGGAGGAGGAGGAGGAGGAGGAGAGGAGGAGGAGGAGGAAGAGGAGGAGGAGGAGGAGGAGAGGAGGAGGAGGAGGAGGAGGAGGAGGAGGCGGAGGTGGAGGAGAGGGAGGAGGGAGGAGGGAGGAGGAGGAGGGAGGAGGGGAGGATTGGGAGGTAGGTGGAGGGAGGAGGAGGAGGAGGAGGAGGAGGTGGAGGAGGTGGAGGAGGAGGAGGAGGAGGAGGAGGAGGAGGAGGCGGAAGGAGGAGGAGGAGGAGGAGGAGGAGGAGGGAGGAGGAGGAGGGAGGAGGAGGAGAGGGAGGAGGATTGGGAGGAGGTGGAGGAGGAGGAGGAGGGAGGAGGAGAGGGAGGAGGAGGAGGAGGAGAGGGAGGAGGAGGAGGAGGAGGAGGTGGAGGAGACCCAGTTTTCCCTCCCGGGCCATGACTGTGGCCCGTCCTCGGGGTGCCCGGCGAGGGCGCCCCGTGGCCCCAAAAAACAGCGCAGTGCTTTCCCCGCGAGTTTGTTTGGTTTCATTTTAAACAGGGAGTCATATACAGCAACATATATCGATCTATATATATATACATAGATCGATGTATGTGTTTACATGTATTCATATATTTATGTAGGTATGTATACACATGCATGTATATTCACTTTTTTTTATTTTTGTACCGTCAACATCCATATATTCATATTTGTTTACATGCATGCATCTATATATAAAAATATATTTACACACATATATACATATACATATATATATATATGTGTGTGTAAATGTATATATAAGAATGAATATATCACGACGCGAGAGGGTCTGGGCCGCCTCTCCGTGCAGGAGAGACACCGATGGCACATCAAGAAGCTGGAGCTCATCCTCCGCGCGCTGGACAACGAGGCGCTCGACATGGGCGACCTCGCGGCGCCTCCCCCCAGCTGGGGGGATCGGTGCTCTCTCCGCTCGCCCCCCCTCCCCCCCCTCTTCCTCTCCCCTCTTCCTCAGAGGAGGAAAAGGTACCCATACCTCTACCCTTCGCCCGTTTTTCCCTTTTTGGGCCTCCAGGGCGACCCTCGTCACCACCGCTGGATTCGCCTCGAAATCCCGGGCAGAACGCACCTCAGGAGAGGTCCGGGGAGTGGCGGTATCGGTACCTTTTCGGTTTCCCCACTTCCTCCCTTCTCCCGTCTTCCTCCCCTCTTCCTCCCCTCTTCCTCCCCCCTTCCTCCCCTCTTACCCCCCCTCCTCCCCTCCTCCTCCCCTCATCCTCCCCTCTTCCTCCCATGGCTTCGCCTCGCTCTCCTTCGAAGAAGTAATGGCTGCGTACGCATGGACTTCCTTCGCTTTCCCTCAAAGAATCAATGGGTGGTGCTCTCTCCACTCGCCCCCCCCTCTTCCTCCCCTCTCCCATGACTTCGCCTCGCTGTCCGTCGAAGAGTCAATAGCATGGCTGAGCCGAGCATCTGGAGTGACGCGTGGGCAGAAGAGTGCACGACTGGCAGCTCTTCTCGTGGCAATGCAAGGAACACCTTGCAGATGGATAGCATGCACACAGAGGCTCGACTGAAGCAGTAAAAACGGAGCGCATCACGACTGGTGACGCAGGAAACAAGAGGAGTACTCACTGGCGTGCGCATGAGCATTCGGAGCTCCGCGCGGATTTCTCGGATCGGTGCCGGGGCGGGCCTCCCTGGCGGCGCCTCCGGCGCCGTCCCTGGCGCGCTCATGCGCGCCAGAGTGCGCCGTGTGGCACCATTCGGCGGACTGCCTGTGGTCCAGACCTGGACGCCAGGAGAGGAACAGCAGTTGGATGTACATGTAGAGGATTGCTCCTACCTCTCTTCTTGCCCCATCCCTCTCTGGCACCAGTCCCTTGATGATGCGGCGGAAGTCCCCTCACTTTGACTTGCCCTCCTACTCTCTTTCCGTTCGCCTCCGCCGCTGCCTCGTCCCACGGCCCTCCCGCATCGTCATTCTCGGCCTGCTCTGTCCCCCTCCCCCTCTATTCTCCCTTCCTCCATTCCCCCTGGTAGTTCAGCGTATGTATACTTGTCACGTGTCAATTAGCATTGTAGCAAGATCATGTGCCAGGTAGCACGTATGTATACTTGTCACGTGTCAGGTATCTTCATATTGTAGCAATATCTTGTGTCACATGTGTGATTTGCATTTCTTGCGCGTCATGACTGTGTAGCGCACATGCGCTGCCTTTCTGTCCTTCGGCACGGTTTTTGGGCTCCCAATGACCATGCCTGATCCTTTCTGCCCTTTCTCCTTTCGCCGCTTCTGCTAGTCCATTCGTCCTCCCTCTCTCGGTCTCCGCTTCCTCTGCCTCTTCCTCCGCTGAACAGGCCTGTTTCGAAAACCTGTTTTTTCTGCTCGAAAGACGGGGGGCGCTGGCTCGCACCCTCTCGGAGCCCGTAGTACGCTCCAATATAGAGGGTTCGGCCTCGTGCGCCGGTGCTCTTTATGAGTGCGCGCGGGATCGGCAGTCGGTCGGGGCGATCGAGATGGGTACGGAAAGAATGGGTACGATGCCCAACAGCGGTTCCTGTTCATTCTGAACAGGACTCGTTGGCCGCGCCGCCGCGGGTGCTGTTCTCTGAAGGCAAAAAGCCGCCCGCCCAACAGCGGCCGCTGCCGGTTTTGGACAACACTTGTTGTTGGGCACTGTGCCCATTCTCTCCGCACCCATCTCGGGCATCCAAAGTCGGCGAGACTGCTCCTTTGGCCCTTTCGCGGCATATGCGGCCGCTGACATAGGGGGCCAGATGCGAACCCTACCCCTACCCCCCACGATTTCTGAGGGGGAGGGTGGGGTTCACTTCGTTCGGGAGTTCCCGAGCGAAGTGAACCCCACCCTCCCCCTCAGAAATCGTGGGGGGCAGGGGTAGGGTTCGCATCTGGCCCCCTATGACTGCGAGCGCCAGGAGCTCGGCTCTCCTCTGCCCGCCGACGGGCGCACGGGGCTGCACTCACGGGTGCCCCCGGCTGGAGCCACCGCCACGCTTTCCGGTGAAGATGGAAGCGCCCCGAGGATTCGGCAGGATGACGGAAGCCACAGCGAGGCGGGCGCGTTTTTGCGCAGGCGTTGCGGTCCTCCTCTTTCCATCCGCTTCCCTCTGGAATAAGTCTGCCATGTCGCACCCCGAGGCGTGTCAGCAGGGCGGGCCGGGAGTTTCGCTTGACCGGCCCTCACGGTTTATGATCCTTGAAGCTGAACGCTGGAGACCTTGGCATCGCTCGGACGTGTGCGTTTCTCCTTCGGCGAGGACCATCGAGGAGCATCCTTGATCATTTGGCGAAAAAGCCACGCACGAAACCGAACAAACACAGGGAATGGACGTCCGAGCGATGGCCAGAGACCGTTTCGCGGAGGGAGGGCGGGCGGTTTCCGGCGTGTGGCTCTCGCCTCCGCGCCGCGCGCATGCGCTTTTGCACCGTGCGCGGGAGAGTTCCGCGGATGCGGGGCGGGCTGTCTTCAGAGTGTGGCTCTCTCTCTCCAGCGCCGCGTGCATCTCGTCAACAGGTTTGCAAGCATTTCGCGGATGGAGGGTGGGCCGTGTTCAACATGTGGTTCTCGCCCTCGCGCCGCGCACTTTCGTCCCGCACGTTCGCAGGAGTTTCACACAATAATGGCGTGCCGTTTTCAACCTGGTGTTCTCGCCTTCGCGCCTCGCATATTTTTTGTTGCAAGTTTGCAGGAGTTTCACGGATGGAGGGCGGTACTTTTTCAACATGTCGTTCTCGCTTGAGCGCCGCTGACATTCGTTTTCAGAGTGTGCAGCAGTTTCAAGGACTCTTATGCTCAACGCCCCAGGCGTTGGTTTGGGCAAACTGTAGGACTGTCAGGGCGCACCAGCTACTTGGATTCGCAGTCTTTCTGTCCCACGACCTGGTGTTCTGTCACACGACAGCATCGTCAGGACGGGCAGAGACGTCGACTCGCCGCGTTTGAGTCCCGGGAATGGTGTTCTGGCACTGTTCGGGCTCTCCTGATGGTTGTCTTCCAATGGGCTTTCCTTTCAGTGAAACTGATTCTTTGTATCACCACCCACCAAACCACCCCAACCCAACCCGAAGGCTCAGATTTACCCTCGATTTCCAGTGGGGGGGGGTCGGGAAACATCGAACAAACACATGTGGAACCCTTACCCCCCCCAACCCGAAATTCGGGTGTTCGGGTTGGGTTGGGGTGGTCTGGTAGGTAGTCATTGTAGGGGACTATGGAGAGGGAATGTTGGAGGGAGGATGTATTGCAACATCGTGGACGAGTCTTTGGTTTGCACTGGGCCTCATCCTCCTCGTCTTCCCCCTCCTCTCTTTTCTCCTCCTCATTCTCTCCAGACTTCTGGCGATCCCTTTCCTTGGGGCAGCTTGTGTGGGGGGGGGGCCATTTTGGGCACCAGGATACTGTACCATCCGTTCGGGATGAACATTGGCTTCCTGGAAGTTGTCGACTTTTTTCTGCACCGCCTCTTCCTCCCTGCGTCCTCCTCTTGCCTTCTCGTTTTCCTCTCCCTGGCTCCTCCTCGTCCGTCGCGCTGGTGCCCTGACGAGCTCTGCGAACTGTGAGCAGGTCTCAAGCGAAACGCCTGTGCCGACCAGCCGACGCATTTGGTTGTGGGGCCAGGAGGAGCTACCTACGGAGGGGTGGAGAGGAGTCTGATTCTGATGATGATAATGCTGATGATGAGGATAATGTGATGATGATGCTGATGATGATGGTGATCATGATGCTGATGATGATGCTGATGCTGATGATGATGCTGCTGCTGATGATGATGCTGATGCTGATGCTGATGATGCTGATGATGATGCTGGTGGTGATGGAGGTGGATGATGATGGTGCTGCTGCTGATTATGATGATGATGATGATGATGATGACGATGATGATGATGATGATGATGTTGATGATGATGATGATGATGATGATGATGATGATGATGATGATGATGATGATGATGATGATGATGATGATGATGATGATGATGATGGATGGTGCTGATGATGATGAGGAAGAGGAGGAGGAGGAGGAGGAGGAGGAGGAGGAGGAGGAGGCGGAGGAGGAGGAGGAGGAGGAGGAGGAGGAGTCGCACCCTGGGCCCCAGCTGCTGCGTTGCATTTTTCAGGGCTCCTGCCGATCCCACCAGAGGTGCGACTGGGCTCGCAGCTCGGGGGCGCGCGCCCCCGCGTCTGCTGCCTTGCGCACTCACGTCCCCCGTCTTGGTCGTCGCGTCCGCGTTTTTGCTGCCTGGCGCCGTCGTGTCCACAGAGTTGCTGCGAGAGGTTTTTTTTGGGGGGGTTTTCTCTTTAAAAGAAAACTAATAACGAAAAAACAACCTCTGGGCCATAACGTGCATTATGCCCCCTTCTTTCCCGCCCCTCCCCCCGCCAATAACGTGACGCGCTACCCCCACAAACCTGTGGTGCCGGACCCACACAGCGGGGCGGAGGGTGTTACGCTTTGCTTCTCCCTCCCTCCCTCCTCCCCGCCCTCCTCCTCCCCCATGACGCCCGTTCTTGCCGCGAACAATTCTCTCTGCCATGCCTACTGGCCTGCTGCTCCAGGATGCAGCTCCTGGAGGGTTCGATTCAGCATCGGCGCTGGTAGATTTCGTGGTCGGAAACCAGCCAGCAGGAGCCCGGCCAAATCCCGCTGAATCCCGCCTGCTACCGCTTAACCCGGCTTGACGCCGGCTTAGTCCGGCTTACTCCTGAGCCCAATCCGGCCTCATTTGGCTCAATATTCTCAGTCGGGTTTCATCGCCCTTACTCGTTCTTGCGAAGACCTCCCATGACTTGCTTCCTAATTCTAGGCCTCCTAGATGGGGTCGTAGTAGATGGGTTGGAGGATCGCGCCGCATCGCCGATGCATCGACGATGCATCAGCGATGCGTCTCGTTGTGGGGCTCGATTCTCTCCACGCCGACGTCGCGGATGCATCGCCGACGTCGCCGATGCATCGCCGACGTCGTCGATGCGTCACCGATGCATCTCCGATGCATCGCCGATACATGGGCGATGCATTTGCGATGCATGGCGATCCTTCGACCCCATCTACTCGAACCCCATCTAGGAGGCCTCTTCTCCTCCTCCACCTCCACCTCCTCCTCCCCCTCACCCCCCTCCTCCTCCGCCACCTCCTCCTCCTAATGCTGCGCGTTTCTAGTCTTGTAGTTGACCGCTGCCGGACCTCAGTGCATCAGAGACACGGTCGACATGTACGTGGAGGCCCACCAGGAGCTGCGCCGCCCGGCCGCCGCAGTGGACCTCCGTGATTCTCGGCGGGGGCGGGGTGCCCACATGCCGCTCGAAGGTCACGGTCTCAAGGCTCCTCCCTTCTCCATGGTGGGCGAGCGGGAGGGAGGAGAGAGGAGGAGGAGGAGGAGGTGGAGGGGGAGGAGGGGGAGGATGGAGGAGGAGGAGGATGGAGGAGGAGGAGGAGGAGGAGGAGGAGGAAGGAGGGAGAGGAGGAGGAGGAGGAGGAGGAGGAGGAGGAGGAGGAGGAGGAGGAGGAGGAGGAGGTGGAAGAGAAGGAGGAGGTGGTGGAGAAGAAGGATGAGGAGGAGTGAGCTGAATGGGGGAGGAGGCGGGAGGACGGCGGAATGGCGGGGCCGCCTTGAACGAAACAACTGGGCTCCTGGGGGGGGTGATGGGGTGGGTGGAGGGTGGGAGGGGTGATGGGATGGTGGAGAGTGGAGGTCGGCCTCCCTTGTCCCACCTCGTCCCGCCACGTCTGGGAGGCACGAGCCGCACCCGTCTTCCCTTCTCCTCTCCTTCTCCTTTCGATTTAATTCGACTTGTGATTCCGATGGGGGCTCCGATATTTGTTTTCTGAGGCCTCCTAGCCTGCCGATCTCCGCCGATTCGGCTTTTCGTGACTCGGCTGCCGATTTCCGCCGATTCGATTCATTCGATCGCCGATCCGACTTGTCGATTCGATTCTATGCTCTCTTGGGTCTGGCGCCGGCGAAGGCGTTCACGGTTGAATTCTGCGACATGGATGGAAGCACCGAGTCGGACGGGGCCAGGAGGAGGATAAGTCCGTTCCAGAGCGTTCCGGAACGCTCTCAGAGCGTTCCAGTACGCTCTAAGAAGGCCGCGGCTCTCGAGACGGCTTCCAAAGCCGCCAGATTTGAGAGATTCTCGATTTATCCTCACCCGATTTTGTCCTCGTCTTGGCTTCGTCTTACCGAGGGGCATGGAGCCTGTTTTTTTCATTCCGGGGCGATAGCGGGCGTCACCGGGGGGAAAGGGGGCCAGTGCCGTTACGTTTTGCGCTGGCGGCGTCTAGGAATGCCTAGGAATGCCAGAGGACGGGTAGGAGCAGCATGTAGGTGGCGATCTGTACCACAGTGCTTGTGTGAACCACAGTGCCTGCGTGCCCCATAGCGCCTGTGTGCGCCACAACGCCTATGTACACCACAGCAGCCGCGTGCAACACAGCGCCAGTGTGCCCCACAGTGCATGCGTACACCAGAGCGCTTGTGTACACGACAGTGCCTGCGTACACCACAGCAGCGTATGCAACACAGCACCAGTGTACACCAGAGTGCCCGCGTGCACAACAGCGCCCGTGTACACCACGGCGCCTGTGTGCACCACAGCAACCGTGTGCAACATAACATCATTGTTGTATATAAAATTTGAGGTGGAGTTCTTATGACAAAATGGAGCGACTGTGGATTCCACAGAAACACTTGCTTGGAAACGGAGTTCTTATGGAAAAGGAGAACCTCTGGAGTCGACGAGTCCTCCCGCATCATCCTCTCTCCTCCCATCGGCGTCCACAAGGCTCCCGCAGAATTGGCCGTCCGAGAACCAAGCGGACTGATTCAATCGACCATGGTTTCGGCGTCGTTTCAACACCAGCTTGGAGCGTGAAGTGCACAGGGCACACATGCACTGTAGTGCCGACCCGCACGACGGTGGAAGGGTGAGGCGAGAGGAGGAGGAGGGAGGAGGGAAAAGCATTGCTTTCTATTCTCAGCACTCTCCTTGCGTGGTGTCTAGCTGTCCGCAGCAAATCCTCACCTGCATGCTCCTTCTACCTGTCCTGTGCACGCAGGCGCTCTGGTGTACACCAGCGCTGTGTTGCGCTCGGATGCTGTGGTGCACACTGGCACTGTGGTGTGCAAAGGCGCTGTGGTGGACGCAAGCATTGTGGTGTACACAGACGCTGTGCGGCTGCTGCGGTGTATACATTCGCTGTGGTGTACACAGGCGCTGTGGTGGACGCGTGCACTGTGGTGTACACAGGTGCTATGTTGCACACGGCTGCTGTGGTGTACACGCGCGCCGTGGTGCACGCGGGCACTGTGGTGTACACAAGCGCTGTGGTGCAGATCGCCAAGGACAAGCTGCTCCCACTTGGCCCGGATCCTCCCTAGGTATTCTGGACGCCGCCGGCGCGGAACGGGACGTCACCTGGGAGGGGGGCGCGCCGGGCCAGCGACGGCCGTCACCGCGGAAGATGCAAAAGCAGGATCGTGGTGACGCCATTGTGCCCGACGGAGTGCAGCCTTGAAAAGGATCGGAGCCGCGATCGGTGCAAGGTTGGACCATCGACGCGGTGTCAGATTACCAGCCGGGAACATATCCCTATCCCTATGCTGGGCACCTCCTCATCACGATGCCAATCTTAGGGATTCCCTTATTTTTTGAGGGCGGACCCCTAAGATTGTCATCGCCTTTTGGCGTGTCAATCGTAGGGATAGGGATACGTTCGAGGCTGGTAATCGGAGACCTCTGCGCGCGCCGACGCCGCACGAACGTGCCGCAGGCCTCCCAGAGATAGGGTGCGTTCCGCTGGGGGTCGGAGCGGCGGCGAGCCCCCTGGGGGCAAGGCCGAGGGGCGGGACTCGTCGGAGGCCTCGGGAGGCCTCGGGCCTCCCGAGAGGCTGCCCGAGCCTGCCCCGACCACGGAGACGTCCTCTCAGAAGGCGCGGGGGGCTTCTGAGGAGTTCCGCCGCCCTCTTCGGGCAAAGGGAACTGTGCACATGCACCGATCCTGGCAAGGCCCATCCTTGACCCAGGATCGGTGCATATGCCTTCTGGCCAAGGTAGGAGGGCGTATGCACCGATCCTGGGCTCAGGATGGGCCTTGCCAGAATCGGTGTATGTGCATAGTTCTTTTTCCTCTACCTCTGAGGAGGCCTGTCCTCTCTCGCTTCCCCCCCAGGGTAGGCCTAGGGTAGACCCAGGGGGTAGAGGCCCAGGGTAGGCCTAGGGGGAAGGCCCAGGGGCAGTTCTAGGGCAAAGCTAGGGGGTAGGCCTAGGGGTAGGCCTAGGGTAAACCCAGGGGGTAGAGGCCTAGGGTAGGCCTAGGGTAGGCTTACCCTCCGGCGCAGGCCGATCGGAGCATCGCGCCTCGTCGCCGACGCATCGCCGAGGCGGCTCGATGTGGAACCCGATTTTCTCCACGCCGACGTCGCCGATGCATCGGCGACGCGGCGCGATTTTCAGACCTCCTCGAAGGATGGGCCTGTTTTCCACCACCACCACCACAAATCGGGGGAGGGAAGGAGGTGGAGGATGGAGGAGGAGGAGGAGGGGGAAGAAGAGGAAGAGGAGGGGGAAGAAGAGGAAGAGGAGGGGGAAGAAGAGGAGGAGGGGGAAGAAGAGGAAGAGGAGGACCCCCTCCCCTTCCTAGCTGTGGTGGTGGCGGCGGAAGACAGGCCCACCATCGAATGGGACCCCCTCCAGGAGGCCGCTAACGAGGCCCGTGCAGGGCTCGAGAGAGGCTGCGGCCTCCTCGCGCGCCCTGGCCAAACGGGGGCCGGCACCAGTGACGAGCGCTGGGTCGGGCCTGCCCCGCTACAGGAGGAGTGCTCGGACACGGTCAAGACATAGCCTGGGGACGATTTTTGCTGCATCATCCTCTTGGACTCTCTCTGAGTATTACTTTGGGTTCTGTGAGGAACTTTTGCCTCCAGATTCCGCCCCCAGGGGGACACGCCCGACCTCAGACAAGGACGCTTCGGCGCACGAGCCCGAACCGGCGCCTCGCGCGCTCGCTCCAAGAGTCAGGAGAGGAAAAAACACAGACACAATTAATCCTCGATTCCTCAGAAAATATAGGAAAATATGGGAAGTGGGGGGGAAGACAGAAACCCAGAAAATATAGGAAAATATGGGGAATATTTTTATTTGTGTGTATCTATTTGTGTGTCCTGGGGCCCCTTCAAGGAGGCCCCCCCCCCAAAGAGGGCCCCGACGGCGCGCGCAGGGCAGGGCGGGGCCAAGGAGCCGCACCGGCCCAGTGACCCGCAGGACGGGCTACGGTGCCGTTTTGGATGCATGCTCCGCGTGCGGCTCACGTATTGACAATGCAGGGGTTTAGCATATGAAAAGCAGCGATGAGTTCATGCATTGATTTTTTCATACATCAGTCATGCACTAAACATCTGATATGTTTAAACATCCTATGTATTTAAAACTGCCCTGTACAGTGGAGGCCAGTGCACAAGAAACCTTCCACGAGAAACCCAACCTCCCTGAGACCCCAGGACGTCCATGGATTCTTGGCCGGGGAGCGCCGCGCTTCCCGTCGCAGGACCACCGAAACCGAGGAAGCCCAGGGCACCCTGCAGGCAAGCGGGGTGCTCCTTGGCACGTGTCCCCACGGTATCCGACGGAGGGCGGGCGGGGACGCCCCTCCCACGGGGCCCCCCCGAGTGCGCAGGGGAAGCCGGGGTCGGGGAGTCGCACCGACCCAAGATCCGTGGGGCCCAGACCCCCGACGTCATGATTCTTCCAGGAGGAAAAGAAACACACAGACAAATAATCCTCGATTTCCCAGGAAAATAAATGAAAATATGGGAAGTGGGCGGGAAGACAGAAACCCAGAACATATGGGAAACTATGGGGGATTATTTTATTTGTGTGTATTTATTTGTGTGTCCTTGGGCCCCTTCATTCTTCCATGACGTCGACCCCCAGGGGTCTCGACCCATTCACCGGGGCCGGTTTCTCATCCCGAGTCGTTTTTTGACGCTCCCGCGGGCTGGTAAGGGTCCCCGGAGGCCGAACATGTCGATGGTCCCACCGTCGTGATTTTTTCACTACTCGAGGGGTTCTGGGGGTGGAGGCCTGACGATGAGGCTCTCTTCCGAGCGGGGCGCACCGCGGCCAAAAAGAGGACCCGGACTGCTACCACGACGAGGCGCTCTACGACTGCTTCGACCTCGCGGAGTTCGAGGAGAAGGCGCGGCGGTTGGAGCCAGGGTCGCGGTTGAGGTAGAGCTTTGGGGGGGTTGGGGAGGAGGAGGAGGAGGAGGAGGAGGAGGAGGAGGAGGAGGAGGAGGAGGAGGAGGAGGAGGAGGAGGAGGAGGAGGGGGGGTAAGGAGTAGGGTAGGAGGAGGAGGAGGAGGGAAGGAGGAGGAGGAGGAGGAGAAGGAGGAGGAAGGAAGAGGAGGGAGAAGGAGGAGGAGGAGGAGGAGGAGGAGGAGGAGAAGGAGGGTCTCTCTCTCTCTCTCTCTTTCTCTTTCTCTTTCTCCTCTCTCTTTCTCTTTCTCTTTCTCTCTCTTTCTCTCCCTCCCTTCTCCGAATGCCGGCGCACAGCTCAAACTCGCGGGGGTCCGAAGTGGAGCTGAAGCCGCCAATCCATATGTATTCCTGTGGAATGGTTTCGTAGGGCTCACGCCAGACGAGACTCCTCCACTACCCCTAAGGTGGGTAGGTGGGTAACGGACGAGCGATCTGGGTGCCACGAGACGCGTAGTCTTTGCAGTGGTAGTGGCAGTGCTAGTGGTAGTGGCAGTGGTATCAGCAGTAGCAGTAGCAGTGGCAGTAGCAACAGCAGTAGTACCAGTTTGAGTAGGAGAACAGGAACGCAGTACAGGAACATGTGGGAGATGGGGGCGAGGAGGCGGAGGGGGACCACGTGGACGCGAAACTGTGATCCGAGGTCGATCAGGATGGTGGTGCTTGTGATGTCGATATGGTAGCTGGTTGTACGGTGCCAGTGAACCCAGCGGTTGGTCTGACGACACGGCAGTGGTGGCGACGAGGAGTAGGGGGCCACATGTGAACCCTACCCCTACCCCCCACGATTTTTGAGGGGAGGGTGGGGTTCACTTCGCTCGGGAGCTCCCGAACGAAGTGAACCCCACCCTCCCCCTCGGAAATCGTGGGGGGTAGGGGTAGGGTTCACATGTGGCCCCCTAGAGGAGGGTAGTGTTGGAGGTGCTGATGCCGAAGACGCCGTCGGCCGCCCGCCAGAGCCGTGCGAAGGGGCGTCGACCTCGGGCGGGGAGGCGCCGAGGGTCCCCGGCGCCTGCCGTCAGGCGCGGGGCGCGGGCGGGATTCCCCGACCCGACCTTTTTTGCTCTTGGCATTAGACCTCTCGAGCGGGCTCGGCGAGCGAGGGTCCCGGGGCAACGTGTGTTGGTCAGGAGGGGACAAAAAACACAGACATAATTCATCGTCGATTCTCCTGAACGTATGGGAACACATGGGCAGTGGGGGGGGGAGACAAAAACCTAGAGAGTATGGAAAACTCGGGGGCAGAAAAGAGGGGGGTGATGACTAGGGGGGGGTGGATATCATGGCGGGGGCCAGGATCTTTTCGCAGATTTCATGGCGCCTCCTCTTATTTCATCACGTCCCTGGCCCCCCCGCTGGGCGGCGCACATGCCGCCGGGCATGATTTGCACCCCCTCTTGGACACCCCCCTCTTGGCCGCTTCCGAACAAACACACACAGACATAATTCATCGTCGATTCCCTTGAAAGTATCGGAAAATATGGGCAGTTGGGGGGGAAGACAAAAACCTAGAAGGTATGGGAAAGTATGGTGAATCTCGGGTTATTAGTGTCTATTTCTTTGTGTGTCCCAGGGCCCCTTCGGTGTGTTGGGGCAATGCCTCTATACCTGTAAGTCGGGCATACATTCCCAAATCGTCAAATAAAATAGTCCGGGGACGTTTTTCGACCGTTTTTGCTCAGGTTTGGGCATTTGTTGATTCTTTTCTATTTCACGTCCAGCATCCGCCTGTAGGGGGGGCATGCCCGACCTAAGCATACCTGTGGTCATGCACACCGACAGTAGTCAGTCTGGCCCAGAAGGGGACGGCCCGTCGGCCCCCTGCTGACCAGAGCTGCGCCGACGTGCTCTCGTCGTCTTGCCTGGCTACTGCCCTGCCTTGACCAGAACATGCGGCTAACACGCGCTCGTCCTGTTCTGCTGCGACGCCCCAACTTCGGATGCGTTCTTGTGTCCGGCCCGCTCTGGGGCCACAGCTCGAGTCCCCGGCGGCCGATCGGGACGTCGGCTCGAGGCTTCCGGCGGGGCGTGGCTGAGCAGAGCCGTCCTGGTGCCCGAACGGTTCCGGGAGCCCTCGAGTAACATCGACCCTCCCGAATTCGGTGTTGCTGGAAGTGCCCCGAAGGTGCCCCCAAGGATTTTTAAGGAGGCCCCCTCGTCCTTCAAAGCACCCGTCACGAGGCCCAGATGACCCCAGGGGCTCCCACATTGAGCGAAAAGTTGGGGGCACCTTGGGCCAGGGGCACCTTTAGCAACCCCCGATGAACACCTTGGGACTTTGAGGCCGATCGGGACGATTCGAGGCCGATAGGGACGATTCGAGCCTCCTTGGGACGATTTCTTGGCGAGGTGCAGCTGAAAAAGATCAACCCTCGTGCCTGAAAGCCCCGTGGATCCCTTCAGTAATTGAGAAAACGCGAGGCCGGATTTTACGAGTGAGTATCCACCGTCTGGGGAGCCGAGACCTTAGAGAATTATGGGGCAGTTGACATTTGTATCTTTGGGCCCTGAAGTGGGGGGCTCGAAGATATTCCGCCCCCCGAGGCCCAGGAAGATCTGGTCCCTAGGCAGTGGATGTGCACATTCCGAGCCCCGGACAAAACGCCCGGACACCCTGGGCCTTAGGAGTGGGAGGAGACGGTTGGGCGAGGGAGCAGTCAGTCGAAGGCGAAAGAACGGCACGATACATGACTCTTGGAGGTCCGCGCGGATTTCTCGGATTGGCGCTGGGCCCCCTCCCTGGCGAGCTTCGCGCGCCAGGGGCGGCGCCAGAGGCGCCGCCCTGGGGGGCCCAGCGGCCGCTCCAGAGAACCCGCCAGGGCCTCCGAGATTGTGCGCGTGTGCTCGTGCAGTTTTGATTTTTCCACGCCCAGATGGTGAGTAGGGGGCCACCTGCGAAGCCGACCCCTACCCTGCCCACGATGTCTGATGGGGAGGCTGGGGTTCACTTCGCTCGGGAGCTCATCGAGCGAAGGGAGCCCCACCCTCCCCCTCAGGAATCTCGGGCCGGACGAAAGGGGGGGATTGGGAAAGGGGGGTTACGACATTTGCTGCATGCAGCTTGTTTCGGCCAGACCGAGGGGCCCATTCCTCGATACATGGGAGGCGCCGGGAAAATCAGCTACGCGAGCTGCTTCTCAACCCCCCCCGTTGCTATCCCCCCCTTTCGCCCGACCCGAGAATCGTGGGGGGTAGGGGTAGGGGGCCACATGCGCCTCGGTCCCCGGAGCACGGAAGTGGGGCAGTCGCAAGCACAGGGCCAGCGACGGAGGAGGAGGAGGGGGGAGGAGGAGGAGGAGGAGCAGGAATCGTGGGCAGGGTAGGGGCAGGCGTCGCAGGTGGCCCCCCTGGTGAGGCCTGGGGGCCCGAGCCGCCGGCAGGCCGTGAAGCCGAGCACGCCCTCGGAGGCTCCGAAGGACGCCCCCGGCACGCCCGCGAGCAGCAAGGAGGACGCGCGGCGCGCCTCGCCCGCTCTCCGCCGGCCCGCCGCGCGCGCCCGTGGCTCGGAGAGCCAGGCCGCCCCGGCCCGCGCTCGCAGGGTTGGGCCTAAAACACACAGACACAATTCATCGTCGATTCCCAAGAAAATATGGGAAAATATGGGAAGTGGGGGGGAAGACAAAAACCCAGAAAATATAGGAAAATATAGGGAATCTTTTTATTTGTGTGTATTTATTTGTGTGTCCTGGGGCCCCTTCATGTCGGGCGTGTCCCTCTACAGGATCGGAGGTGGACAGAACCCCCAACAGTGGCACGTCGATTAGTGAATTGTCCGTTTTCGGTTCTCGAGAGTCAGGCCGGACGAAAGGGGGGGATTGGGAAAGGGGGGGATTGGGAAAGGGGGGGTTACGAAATTTGCTGCATGCAGCTGGCTTCGGCCTCGCCGAGGGGCCCATTCCTCGATACATGGCCGCCTCGGGCGCCGAGAGGCGCCGGGAAAATCAGCTACGTGAGCTGATTCTCAAACTCTTTGCTATCCCCCCCTTTCGCCCGGCCCGGGAGAGGGCGCCGCGGCCGTCATTTTCCAGGCTTGCGCCCGCCAGGTCTGGGCCTCGGGTCGCTATCACGAAACCACGTTTTACGAAAGGGGGGTCTGTCTATCCCCGACGTAAGTCGGGCGTGTCCCTCTACAGGAGGAATCTTCAAAAGCAGTAAAAAGATAGTCTGGGGACGAGTTTCGGAGCATTTTTTTTGACCACTTGCGCCCGGCCGCGTCCACTGGTCCAACGGCGCCCAGGAGCGCCGAGCAGCGCCCAGATGGCGCCCAGGAGGCGGGCCTGTCCCTTCGCGCGGCGACCCCCTCGCCTCGCAGGGCCAACGGTACTCCAGATTTCGTAATAAAAGATTTCGTACCCCCCGAAATGAGACCCCCTCCCTTTTCTTACGAAATCTGGAGTACAGCGGGGGGTTGACGACGTTTCAAGGTTCAAGGTTTTCGGACGTTTTCGCCGGTTCTTGCAGGCTGTTGTAGGTTCTCTGGCGCTGGGATGCGCTCCGAGGGCGTTCCTGGGCTGTCCAGATCGTCCCAAGCTTCGGCTGGAGACTTGAGCTGTGGCCCAAGAGCACGTCTCCAACGTCAGGGGGGGATGGGCTCAGGGCCGCATGCGTCGACCCCCAGTTGCCCATTCGGCGCCGATGGGCTCCCGAGAGCCCACCCTCTGCCCAGGACCGTGCCGGTTCGCTGCCGGGGGCCTGCCGCCGATCTCTTGGCGATGTGTCGCCGATTCCAGCTGGATGTTTCCCCCTTCCTCGTTCGTCCCCCATCTCCTCCTCCTCCTCCTCCTCCTCCTCCTCCTCCTCCTCCTCCTCCTCCTCCTCCTCCTCCTCCGGTCACCCCCTGCCGTTTCCCCGCAATCCCGACAGCGTCTTGAAAAGGTACGACTTGTCAACAGAAGGAGCGGTCCTCGAGCTCTTGCGCGAGGTCTTGTGCGGGGGTGTCTCGTGCGGTCTTGAGTGGGCTCTCGTGTCGGACTCTGGGTGTCGATTCGCGTTCTCCTGCTTCGCTCTCCTGCGCACGTCGTCTTGTGCGCGTCTCGTGCGCGACCACACCCCTCGCTCGACCATTGTTTCTGCTAGAAAGAGTAGCGCGGGTTCATTCTGAGTAGTATAGGTGGCAGTCAAGACGCGGCCCGCGTCAACAAGAGCACTGCCCCAGAGGAGCTGCTGAGAGCTGGTGTGGTCCACGTGGCGTGTCTTCGTGACTGCCAGAAGGGTGGTCCACGTGGCGTGTAACGCTGTGAATCGCCGCTTCGACGCGGCGGCGGGCCTGGCGCCGGGCGCTCGGTGGCCTCCCGAGTGTTTTTTTTCAAGGCCCGGAGGCGCGCATAATATCACCCGTGGCGCGAAATCCATGCGAGGGAGAAATCGTCGACATCCGTTGGGGGTTGCGAGAGCAGAGATCGTTAAGGTGAACGTCTCACGTGGTGGCAGAAAGCGTTTTTGTTTTTGTTTCTTTTTGTGCACTTGTTATACCGCACGAACAAGGCGTTCCAGAGCATGCTAGAGCATTCTCAGTGCTTTCCAGGGCGTTCCGGAACGGCGCGGCGCCCGATGCATCCTCTGGACCCGCCAGTTCTGAGAGCTCCCTAGATGATCCACATGTCTCATGAAGCCCATCGTGGGTCTAGTTCCGTTATCTGCATTCTGAGACATTCTTTCGCGGAAGTGTTTGTCGCAAAACTAAACCCATGCTGCCCTTGTCGTAGTCCACTCGGTCTGGTCAATCTGGGCGGGAGCTGGGTGCAGTGCAGGCCCATGCCAAGAAGCACCCGGCCTGCCCCCAGGGTGCCTTGGGTTCCGTGGGTCTCGATGATTCTGCTGGAGAGCGTGACGTTCCCGCACCAAAAAACAGTGAACGTCCTAGGGTCTCAGGGTCGGGTTTTTTGTGGAAGGTTTCTTGTGGTCTGACCTCCACCGTGCTCAGAAGTAGCCAAAAAGAGTCAGGAGACGGTTTTTCGACCAGTTCTCGATTCTTATGTTTTTTCCGCATTTTTCCGTCGCAAATCCGCCTCTGGGGCGACATGCCCGACCTACGATTGGGGCCTCATGGTCTCAGGGTCTCAGGGTTGGGTCTCCCGTGGAAGTTGCGGTCGGGCCCCTGCTGCACGCAGCCTGCCGCACGCTTCTCTTGGCGCGCCGGCCCTCGTGCGGACGGGCAGCGCCAGCCCCTCCGCCACATGTTATGTGCACATCCAGCGCGCGGCCTCCGCATGCTCCCGCACATATATGAATACATACACACGTCAATCCATACATACGTAGCTAACTAACTAATCACATACATACAGACATACATGCATGCATGCATGCATGCATGCATGCATACATACATACATACATACATAACAACATATCATAGTACATTCATGATCCATAAAACCATAAACAACTACATGCATCTATACATGCATGCATGCATACATACATACATGATTCAACATATACATAAGTAATAACTATATCACTAATCAAACAATAAACAAATCAATCCATGCATACATAAATGAATGCGCACACATATATATATATATATATATGCACATACATGCGAGCCCAGTAGCAGTCCGAGCGTCGACTCCTGGTTGCCAGAAGGACCATTCTCGGTGCTTTTCTGGTTGCTTACTGGCGGTCTGTCGGCCTGCTTGAGTCAGCGGTTCGCGCTTCGGCATGCTCTCTCCGCCTTCGAGTTCCGTCGCCGCGGTTCTCGAGGCAGGGCTCTTTTTCTGGGGACCCCTCGTTCGATTTTCCTGAGGACGGGGATGCTCGGACGTTGCCGGCGATTCCTGGCCAAAGGGTCGAGTGTTGCTAGAAGTGCCCCTGGCCCAAGGTACCTCCAGCATTTCGCTCGATTCTGGAGCCCCTGGGGCCCTCTGAGCCTCGTGAGGGGTGCTCTGGAGGCCGTGGGGGGCTCCTTCGAAATCCTGGGGACACCTTGGGCCAGGGGCACTTCTAGCAGCACCCGAAGGGGTTTTCGGCCACAGCTTCCCACCCTTCGGGGTCCCTCCCCATCAGAGCCCCCCCTTCCCTCTGTAGGATTCCGTTGGGCGTGTCCCTCGGCAGGAGGATTCTTCAAACATGGCCAAACATTAGTATGGGGACGCTTGTTCGACTAATTTTGATCATCCTTTGACTATTTTCAGTTCTTCTTCAAAAAATCCGCCTGTAGGGGGACGTGCCCGACCTTGACCGTAGGATCCGGGGGGCACGGTGCATTCCTTGTGCGAGGCGGGGAGGGAGTGGTGTTGGCAGGGGCAGCTCGCCGTTCAGGGTCCCGGGGCCCAGTGTCCACTCCCGCCGCCGCCACGCACGATCCCGCCATATGGCAGACTCAATCCGAGCATTTTCTTTGGGTGGAGGGCAAAGGGTGAAATCTGAAATGCCGTTTCGACTGATTTACGAGGCTCGAATCTGCAAAAGGTGAATCACAAGACGGATTGATTCCCGAGGTGCGAAGGCCCATATGGATTCCACCCTGAGCCCTCCACCCTAAGAAAATGCTCAGTCAATTGGGGGTCTGCGAGCTGGTCGCCGTGCTGGTTCCCGCATGCTGCCCTGCCACTGCGGCCTCCCGCGTGCGCTCCTCTGTGCGGCAGTTCTGCGGGTGCGTTTCGCAGACCTTCGCTTAAGTAGGGCCTGTCCCCCTACAGGGGGATTTTCGACGAAAAATGAAAACATACCCCCCAACTAGTAAACAAATAGTCCAACAATAGTCTGGGGACTATTTTTTGAGTATTGTTTTGCCATTTTGGAGTATTTTTTGTTTTTCATTGAAAATCCCCCTTTAGGGGGACACGCCCGACTTAAACCTTCGCCTTCCGTTGCAGCTCCCCGTTGCCGGAGCGCTTGGGCTGCCAGAGGTCCCGCAAGGGCAGGCGCGCTGGCGCGGATTCCCGCACAGGAGCGACGTGACGTGTCAGAAGTCGTGCCACCACGCTTCGTCTGCGGGAGCGTATTCCGTCACCTCGTGCTCCGACAGATGGGTGCAGAACATTTGCAGGAGTCCAGGACGGATACACAGCCGTGACACAAATTTCTTCAATTTGCTATGATGAAGATCTCTCCCATCCCTCTCAAGATTCCTGACATGACATGATGCTGGGATCATTCGGCGGAGTAGTTTCCGATCCCGGAGACGTTAATAACCCTGTTACCCCAAAACGGGATCGGAAATTACTCCGCGCCAAACCATATACATTATCGAGCGGGATGCGATTGCGCGCGGAGTAGTTCTAGTAAAACTACTCCGAACTATTCCGCACGAGCGCGTCATTCCAAAAGGCAAATTGAAAGAAATTTTCGTCACGGCGATGTACGTACGTCTGTTGATGGCTCATGTCGGACGCCAGTTTACTAGCAGGAAAGGATTTGGCAGGGAGATGCGGAGGAGAGAAGGTCGGAGGAGGGCTGGAGGGAGGAATGGACGGAGGGAGGTGGGGAGAGAGGATGGGGGGAGCAGGCGAAGGCAGAAAGTGGGGGACGAGGAGGCGCAGCAGTGAAGCATGTGTGGTTATTCTGGCGATCGCAAACATGGATCAAGGGGGCGTGGATTAGCGACGGGTCCCGTTTCCATGGGAAGTCGCGGATTTCCGCCGCCGAACGAGGCGGGACCGGCCGCATTTTGGGGAGGGCACCTCCCCCGATCCATGTTTGCGCGCCCCCGAGTCATGACGGTGAGGAATATGCTGGTGGGTGGCGATCATCGCGATGAGGAGGACGATCCATAGGGATGATGCGCAGGAGGAAGGGGAGGAGGAGGAGGAGGGTCCGCAGGAGGAGACCGATGTGGCGTAGGAGGCGGAGGAGGAGGAGGAGGAGGAGGAGGAGGAGGAGGAGGAGGAGGAGAAGGGCGATCATTGCGACGATACGGACCGATAGAGAGAGAGAGAGAGAGAGGCAGGAGCGAAAGCAGGACGTACACGTACATCAATCCACTTCGGTTTTGCGAGTTCGCATCGCGCGAGCGTTCGTACCATGAGGCTGGTCTCGTGGACGGGGGAGGCATATCCATACGTAGTCAAAAAATAAGGCGGGTCGATTTTCGGAGCATTTTTGAGCATTGTTGATCAGTATGTTTTGACTATTTTTTTGTTCGTCAAAAGTTCGCCTGTAGGAGGACACGCCCGAGCTAAACCTACTCCCGGTGACCTTTCTCCTCCCCAGGGTGCAATTAACCCGCATAGTAAGGATAGGCAACCTTCCCAGGTGGTGCCCTTGCATTCTTACCTCCTCGGTCCATCCTTGGCCACTTTCGTTGGCCGCGCCCCGCTCGAAAAGCTCCGAAACGGTCTTCCAAGGCCCTTGCATCCTTGTCGTGCATCCTTACGATACGGGTCGACTGTAACGCTCGTTAACTGGCCAACCCCCTCCTTCTCCCTCTCCCTCCCCCTTGTAACGCTAACGATCGTGCCGGCCCCCCTACCTACCGTGGTGCGCACAGGCGACCGATGCGCCTGTGGCGCGGACGCACCCTGGCGGGTTCACGCCGCGGCCGCCGTGATTGTTGTCGGCGGCGAGCCGCGGGGGGAACAGAGAAGGGGCGGGCCTTCTCAAACGGCTCGGAAGCTTCCCGGCCCTCTGAGAAGTTTCCTAAGCCTTCCCCCAGGACGCGGAAGACTTCTCAGAAGGCGCAAGGGCTTCTGAGAAGCCCCGCCGCCTTCCGATGAGGCCTTTTCCTTCTCGTTTCCCCTCGTAGCTCGCCGCCGAGTTGAAGGCGGCCGCAGTTGGCAGGACTGAGGCCCCTGCTCGAGCGAGCGACCGCCGACGAAGGGCGAGTGTACACGAGGGGGCTGAACTCGACCCCGTTACCGCTACTGCTACCCTCCCGCCCGATCCCCCCCCCCCACTCCGGGCCACGACCGTGACCCGGGAAAGGCAATCCTTACCCTGGCGAAGGACCCCGCCATGTGCCGTTGTGAGCACCGTCGTTGTGAGCAACCTTTCGGGGGGTCGCCTTGCGGGGCCACCAGGCGTGTGAAGGGTGCGGTACACGACCGTGACCTGGAACAGGAGCAGCAAGCACAGGGTAAGCCGCCGCGGAGCCTCACCCGGCAGCTCCCGCCCCCTCATCGACCCCACCTCTAGGGAACAAGAAGTGACATAAACATAAAAACTCGGAGGTCCGCGCGGATTTCTCGGATCGGCGCTGGGGCCCCCCGGCGGCGCCTCCGGCGCCGCCCCTGGCGCGCTCCGCGCGCCAGGGAGGGGGCCCCAGCGCCGATCCGAGAAATCCGCGCGGACCTCCGAGTTTTTTTATGTTTATGTCACGTTTTGTTCCCCTAACCTCGCGGGTGCCCCCCCACCCAGGAGCCGCAGAAGAAGGCCAAGGAGAGGGAGAAGAAGAAGAAGGAGGACAAGAAGGACAAGAAGAAGGAGGAGCGCGACAGAAAGGCGCGGCGCGCCGCCCGTGCCCGACGCGCATGTGGTGCGACCGGCCTGGGCTGTGCCCCTATCGCCTCCCCCGACCTCGCCCCCTGCGACGCCAGTGCACAGGTACAGCTGGCACGAGAAATGCAGAAATGCAGTGGAGGCCCATGCTGCCTCCAGTGTGCCCTGGTTTTTCTGTGGTTTCGATGGTCTTGCTGTGGAGGGCGTGGCTTTCCCACAGCAAAAATCGACGGACGTCCTGGGGCCTCAGGCTTGGGTTTCTCTGTGGAAGGTTTCTTGTGGTCGGGCCTCCACTGTAAGGGCAGCCCTGGCTTTGGAAGAGCGCCCTGACGTTCTTCGCGCGTGGGCTCCCCACTTTTTTGTGTGTTCCTCGCGCCCTGCGCCTTCGGCGACGGGGCTCCTGCTCCTGATCCACACTGTTGTGGATGCCCTCGTCGCCACCGCTGGATTCGCCTCGACATCCTGGTCCGAACGCGCCTAGGGAGAGGTCCTGGGAGTGGCGGTATCAGTACCTTTCGGTTATGAGGAAAATTCTGGAGGCCTCGCGCGGCGCGTAATAGTAGTATGATCTAGTCCACTTGTCAGTTCCGTCAGCTATAGGTCGACGCTCGCGCGGCGATGCTCCAGAGTCAGTCCGACGTACATCCGACGTAGTCCGACGTGAACCCGACGTGAATCCGACGTGGATCCGACGTAAATCGGGTCTCAAGTTGCCGCGCGAGGCCTCCAGGATTTTCTGCATGATTTTGGTTTCCCCACCCTATCGGAGATAATTGAATTATACATGAGAAAAACTCAATCAGTGGATGGTTGTCGCTGAGGAGATAGACCGGGAACCCGGGAGCCCGGGAACCCAGAACCCACCGAAATCGGCCCAGAACCAATAACCGGGAACCCAGGAACCCGGAACCAGGAACCCGGGAAGCCAGCTTGCTACCGAAATCGGCGGGAAGCTGTCGCCAAGTCTTTCAGCTTCCGCTATGGGACCCCTCCAGTGCAAGCACTGAATGGGGAAAAAGGTGTCCTCTCCGAGTCTCCGCGAGGCCTCTGGCAGCCCCGAGAGGGCCCTCGTCGGCGACACCTCGACGGCACTCGCTGGCCATCGGCTGCCTGCGGCTGTCCTCGGCGGCCTCTTGGCGGTACGTCGGGCACGTCCCTCTACAGGAGGACTGCTCAAGAGTAGTAAAACATGGTTTGGGGACGATTTGTTTTTTTTGTTTCGTTTTTTTTTGTGTTTCTCTCATTTTTTGGGGGTGCATTTCATTTTTGTATCCACAATCCGCCTGTAGGAGGACATGCATTCTAGCGGTAATTGCTTGGCATCGCTCGGACGTGTGCGTTTTGTCCTCGGCGAGGACCATCGAGGAGCATCCTTGATCATGTGGCGAAAAAAAAGCACGCACGAAACCGAAACAAAAACAGGGAATGGACGTCCGAGCGATGGCCAGGGCGTGTAAGGTTGAACGCAGCCTGTGGCCCAGAGTCGGCCTGTCCTTGAACGATCTGGCCTTGTTGAAAGGGCCGATCGCTCAAGTTGGAACGATCCCCGCGGTGTCAGGAACCAGCGCCAGGGTCGACACGACGCAAGCCTGCCGTAAGCGCCCTCGCTTCCAATGAGGCGTGCCGCGCCGGCGGCCCGCGCAAGCCGCGGAGTGAGGCCGCCATGGCATCCCGCGTGAGATCCGTTTTTTTGATCGTCGCTCGACTGGCTTCTGAGCTCTGTGGGCGCGCCTGCTGTCAGAGCGTGGTAACCAGTACATGCCGTAGTTTGGCATCGCTTTGTATCTCTTGGAAGCGAGGGTGGTCAAAAGCGAGGTAAGTTTGTTTTCCCCCTATGCTGGCCCGACGGCGGCGGCGGCGGCGGCCTCTCCGCGAGGCCTCCGGCACGCCCAGCGGCACGCCCGTCGCGGCCAGCTCCGCGAAGGGCGTCGGCACCCCGAGCGGCGCCAAGGCCCGCGCGCCCCGCGCGCGGTCGGCGGTGGTGTCAGGGGCAGCGTCAGAGGGTGCGTCGCAACCCCTCCTCCTCCTCCCCCTCCTCCTCTTCCTCCTCCTCCTCCTCCTCCTCCTCCGCCTCCTCCTGCTGGATAGGCCCAGGGGTGGCCAGAGTCTGAGGCCCAAGGGGTTCGAGGGTTGTGTTGTCGATTCCTGCAGGTTTCCCAGCCTCGGGAGGCGCTCCAGCAGCTGCGCCTTGCCGAGGGCGCTCCGGGGCTGTCCGGATCGTCCCGAACGGCCACCGGAGAGCAGAGAGATGGCCCGAAAACGAAGAGGCAACGTCGGGGGGGGATCGGGTAAGGGGGGGATGCATCGACCGCCTTCCAATCGCCCAGTCATCGCCGATAGGGGCCTGACAGCCCCCGACAGCCCACCCTGCCCAGGAACGCGTGGTTTCACAATCGGTGCCGAATCGCCGATGTACTGGAGATGTATCGCCGATTCCAGGTCGCGTTTTTTTTACAACTGGCGATTCTGCTTTGCTTCGGGCTCCAGGACCCTCACGGATCGATTTGGCTCGAAATTTGTTGGAGAAAGATGCGGTCTAGAGTTTTGGGTGTGATTGTTAGAGTGTTTTTTTCATTGACGTTTGATCTCAGGGATTTCCGAATGTTTTTTTGTATTGGCTGTCTTTTGTAATTTTCTGGCGGTTTTCGGTCTCTGAGGCGTTCTACATCGGCTGCGCCCTCTCGAGAGCGTTCTGGGAGTGGCCGGACTTGCCCGAAACGGCCACCCGTGGGCCCCGAGTGTTGGTCCGAAGCTCGAGCGGGAGGAGGCCACGGACGACGGAGAGCGCCCAGGGGGGGGCAGCCGATCTCCTCCGGCCGACGTGGTCTTGGGGGGGCCACGCGGGGCCGATCGCCTGTCTCGGCCCTCGGCTGGCGCAGCGTTGGGCAGGCATCTGCAGCGATCTGGCAGGGGCTCGCGGCACAGCCCCGGCTGACGCGGGTTGGCTCGATGACCCAGGTGATCGTGTCCCCGACACGGGGGTCGTGGACGACGATGAAGGGAGAGGAAGCGTGTTGCCAAGCCAAAGAAGTTCCAGACGTCTAAGCATGTCACAGACATGCCTTAAACATATAACAAAAATGCTTTCTCAGCATTTTCAGAACGTGTTTCACACATGTTTCACACATTTTTGTAGTTCAGCGAGAGGATTGTCAGGGTGTCCAGTGCCGCGGCATCCGCAACGCGAGGGGCGGGTGGGGGGGATCCAGGATTTCGGGCGCTCTGTGAGTTTCTTTTCCCGGCCTCCGGGAGCCTCTTCGTCGCCACGGTGGGTGTGATCCGACCTTGGTGGTGGTGGCTGGAGCGCGCCTCGGGACGGGTCCAGAAGCGCCAGAGGAGGGGGGCGGGAGTAGAGGGAGCGTCCAAGGTCTTCGACGTCGTGCTTCTGTGTCCACCTCCCTCTTTTTTCTTTCTTCGGAGAACAAAGGCGGAGGTTGATAGATCCCTGCCCTGACACGTCGATCAGCGAATCGGCCTTTTTCGGTTCGCGAGAGGGCGTCGCGGCCGTCTTTTTTGCGGGTCCAGGTCCGTCGGTTTCGGTTCTAGGCTGTTTTCACTGAGGGGTGGTTTACTCAAGGGAGGTTTGTCCACCGCCGAGAAACGCCATAAACATACACTTTTGGCGCTCCGAGCGGATTTCTTGGATCTGCGTTGGGCCCCCCCCGCGGCGCCCTTGGCGCGCTCCGCGCGCCAGGGAGGCGGGTCCAGCGCAGAGCCAAGACGTCCGCGCGGAGCGCCACAAGTGTAAGTTTATTGGGTTCTTTCTTCTTCTGCCCCTTGGAGCATGGGCACGGCTGTGGATGTTGCGAGATGGGGGAGGCGGACATGGGGTGGGGGTGCGGAAGTGTGGCGAGGAGGGGTGATGGACGGGCCTTCGTTGGCAAGACTGGCTGCCTTAACAGCATCGTTGTTCCGCTCTTCCAGCTCTCCGAGCCCTCTGCCAGTGCCCCTCCAGGCTGAGCCACTCTGTTTTTCATATGGGGACGAAGAATGAAACTCGGAGGTCCGCGCGGATTTCTCGGATCGGCGCTGGACCCCCCTCCCTGGCGCGCGGAGCGCGCCAGGGGCGGCAGCGCCAGAGGCGCCGCCAGGGGGGTCCAGCGCCGATCCGAGAAATCCGAGCGGACCTCTGAGTTTGCATATTTCTGTCATTCGTCGTTCCCCTATTTCAGTTTTGGGACATGTTTAGGGACTTCTTGGTGCTCTGTCGGGCTATCTCATAGGGCTCTGTTGGGCTATCCACCGCCCTGCCGGGGGGTCAGCTTGGGGGCCTCTGGAGCCACATCCTGGCGATCTTGGGGGAAATCATGGGGCTCTCGTGGGGCCACCTTGGGGGCCTCTAGGGGTCAGGAGCGACGATCTGGGGGGATCGGCATAGGGGGGATGCATCGACCCCCAATCGCCCATTGATCGCCGATAGGGACCCGATAGTCTCAACCTGCCCATGACGGTGCGGATTCATTATCGGAGGCGCATCGCCGATCTATCGGCGATGTATCGCCGATATCAGGTCGATGCATCCCCCCCTGAGCCAGTCCCCCCCCTGTCGTTGCCCCGCAAGGCGGCTTCTTGGGCGATCTTGGTAGCGTATTCGTGCCCTTTTGGGCCTCCCTGGGGCCGCTTTGGGCACGGTGCCTTTGGAGCCGTCTTGGAGCGATTTTGAGACATTGGGAGCAGACCGTGGGACAGATGAACAGACATGACTTCTTGGAAGTTGTTCTCCGATGATGCTGGTCCCCACGTGTCCCGTGTCCAGTCCTCATTTCGAATAGGGCAGAGTTGTTCCTTCCTCCTTTTTCCTTCCTCCTCCTGCGGTCTCCCTCGTATTCTTTCCTTCCTCCCCCTCGTCTCGGTCGACATACGACGACGACGAGTGCAAATATAGAGCCCAGTACGTTTCCATCACGGCTTTGAAAGCACTTCGACAGCCAGATGAGGAGGATCAATAGAAGTATGAGGGGAGGGGCCGCGAAGGGCCGCACGCGGTCGAGCAGGAGACGGAAGGAGGCAGTATGAGAGGGTTGGGCAGCAGGCATTTTTGAGAGCGGATGGCGTGGATCAAGAGGAGGACGATGATGGGGAGGGCACACGCGCCGAGTTTCTTCACGTGGGGATGTATTCCCACCATATACGCGCTGCGAGTAGGACTCTGTTTTGACTCGCATCTGATGTAAACGAGGGCATGCATATCGAATTCGCGTGCGAAGCAGTATGCAATACACCCCATACGAGATGCACCATCAAACAGATTCATCGTCATCAGCGTTGTCGTGCATGTCCTATCTGACAGCGTCCGATGAGCAGTACTTGCCACGGCACAGCCAATGAGCTGGTAGTAGTAGTGCTTGTCAACGTCGTCGTCGTCGTCGTAGTCGTAGTAGTGGTGGTGGTGGTGGTGGTGGTGGTGGTAGTAGTAGCAGCAGTAGTAGTAGTAGTAGTAGTAGTAGTAGTAGTAGTAGTAGTAGTAGTCGTAGTAGTAGTAGTAGTAGTAGTAGTAGTAGTAGTAGTAGTAGTAGTCGTAGCAGCAGTAGTAGTAGTAGTAGTAGTAGTAGTAGTAGTAGTCGTAGCAGTCGTAGTAGTAATGGTGGTGGTTGTGGTGGTAGTAGTGGTAGTGGTGGTAGTAGTGATGGTAGTAGCCGTGGTAGTAGCAGCTGCAGCAGCAGCAGCAGCAGCAGCAGCAGCAGCAGCAGCAGCAGTAGTAGTAGTCGTAGTAGTAGTAGTAGTAGTAGTAGTAGTAGTATTCGTAGTAGTATTCGTAGTAGTAGTAGTAGTAGTAGTAGTAGTAGTAGTAGTAGTAGTAGTAGTAGTAGTAGTAGTAGTAGTTCGTGTAGTAGTAGTAGTAGTAGTAGTGGTAGTAGTAGTAGTCGTAGTAGTAGTAGTAGTAGTAGTAGTAGTAGTAGTAGTAGTAGTAATAGTGGTAGTAG